AGTAAAATAAATCTAGAGTGGGTCGGCGAAAGATATGGAAGAAGCGACTTGGATAGCTAGTTAAAAAGCCAGGACTATGAAGATATACACAATACCGTAACCAAAGCATACTCATCCACATTTAGGTGAATAATATAATACATGTAAGTCGTCTAATCTAGGGCAAACAGCAATAACCCCACTGATTACAAGATGCTGAATCATTACTGTCAGTAACTCTCGGCAGAAGGTTATAGAGGTGACAACGTTGCTACGGTTCGACCTGGTAGTCTTGCACATTGAAGGCACAGGAAACGGCAGAACGCTAAGGCGGAGAAAAAATGGGTATCAGGAATAGGTACGAAGGAGAATCACATACGTTTCCGATACGGTAATATATCAAAAGGCGAAACCAGAAAGAGAATGAAGAAAAGGACATCTATAGAAGGGATTTCTATATATTGTAAAGCTATCATTATTATTATTATTATTTTTGTTATTCCGACACATACAGCGCACAATTTCGTTTTTCCGCAGGGACAAAAGAATTCAGCTACCCTTTACCATCAAAAGCGGACTAGTTCCGCTTCCTTTGTGCCACGAACCTTTCCCCCGAATCGGGAGAATACATCGCATGCCAGTGATATACTTATACGCTATCTTAATGGGACCACGCAGCCGCGAGTGTTAGCGCAAACAGCAGAAAAAAAACGAGACCACAAGAAATATTTATTGTTGAGAGCGCCTTCTGCTTTCTACGTAAATGGGTGACTACTCGCTTCTGCTATACGTTTGGGTCTCTAAATTAGCTGCTTGCTAGCAAGCAAATAATCTAGACGAGCTCATTTGGGCCACTGTATGTAATGCTGCCGCTTATGACGCATAGAATTTGGCTTGCAACTATTGCATGTTTTGTAGAAGCAGCTGATTTTCGCAACGGGAACCCAGTGGTGACGGGATTTGTCTAAACAGAAGTAGATAGAATCAAGGCAGCAACCATAACGTATTTTAAATTTCTGATGAGTCAGTCGCAAAGGTGAGATAAGGGATCGCGCCGAGGGAGTTACCATGGAGTTCGCAGCCATCGTAAGAACGCGCTGAAATAATTGCTCCGGGTTCAAGTGCGATCAAATTAACGGGCCAATGGTGCAATGTGTACAGCTTTACTATTGTGTCTAGACATGCGCGACATATATAAAAAATATATAGCCAGTATTGTGACGAACTGATAACTCCGATTGCTCCGGGGGGGAGGGGGGTGATAGCCGCTGAATGGCATCTAGCCTGTATATATATCGGGACTCATGATACTTCAGACTTATCTTAGAATATCGTTCAGTGTTAGTAGGTTACTCACCGCCTCGCCATAATATAGACCAAAAAAGCCGATTATAGTCATTATATATAGACACCCTAATAATATTTAAAGTAGTTATTGAAGAAATATAGCAGTCTTTTTTTCGATTCCCTTTATTACTTCGCTGTAAACGCTACATGCTCGTAGCCGTTTTTGAATTATTTATAAATTCGCACTGAATTGTCTACCCTGGTTGCATCATTCTTTCTGTTCATCAGAGGTAACCTTCTGATTTGATCTGAGACGAAACATAATTGAAAGCAAAAGATGTGCTAATCTATTCTCAGATAGATTGGTTGGGGCCCTTTCTTCAACTACTGAGTCAGTCCATTAGCGACTTTGTTAAGTAATTAACAGTTTTAAAATGCGGCTGAAGTTGGTAGGGGGATCGAAAGGATTGGATCGTTAGCTCGACGTTTTTCCTTAGTCACCAACAAATATTGCCTCTGATCGACTTCGACTTCCGGCAGCCAAAATTGAACAATTTTTTTGACCAGCTGCTTTCACCTGTCTGCTTTTGAACTTATCGTCGGTGTGCATCTCACACAGACACAACAGCGCATAGTAATACTTGCAAAAGAAGGGCTATAATGACGTGCTGTGCAAAGCAAATCCACAGTTGTATTTCTATGCCGCACGGGAACATTCTAAGGTTCTAAAAATTAATACACACAACAATAAATCATAGCTTCATAAAAGAAAAAAGCTTTTTAATTACTTATATTGCAATTAGACCTTTCCGTTTTAGCATCGTTGGGATAATACTGAAGCCTAACCTTACGATTTTAAAGGAACTGTTGAAGACCATGAAACTTTAACGTGAGTATCGGAATGGTAAATATTAGAAATTGCACGTTGTTTGACGTATCGATGTAGCAAAGTAGATTTATTGTTATGTGAAACATCGTATAAAGACTTATTTTTTTTTTTCTAGATGGTAGCAAAGGCTCGTTATGAAGCTTATTGGGGACGAATATGGACTCGACGGCTTGGTTCGCTTTCGTGTAGCCTGCCTTTCTATGGCCAACTGCAGGATCGAACCGACTAGCTAAGGGACCAAACCTTTTTCGCGTAAAAAACAACAACGTCTCGCATCTTCCCTGTGGGATTTGGTTTGGGCTGAACGAAAGTAGTTGTCTCTGGTCGTGCTGCCATATGAACGCTTTGTCAGCCCTCCTAAAACTCCCTGCTTGCTCAAGCTGTGTTTGCGTATCGCTATTTGCGATACGTAGCCAACAGAATGTCGTGTGTCGTCATAAAAGTTTTTAAAGGCATCACCTTCACTTTCCCCGCTGGTTATAGTGGGCCAGCCCGTTGTCGTTTTCATTCCCAGCTTCCGTGTGACTGGATGACTCGTTTGCGGACTGTATAAGCAGAGAATCTAACTGGCAGAGCATGAGCGGGCACTCGCTAATTCGTGAAAGAAGATGTGTTGAGAATCTACTTGGACGCAAGCATGGTACAACTGCTGATTCTTCTTCTATTGCCGCAGTACGCGCACGACGCGGGCGTATGAATGCCCTTGAGTTGGTAGATCTTGGTCTGTCTTAGTAATGACTATTCCCCTCCGCATCACAAAGGCAATGGCTAACAGAGCAAAAGTGCGGCAGACAACTAGAAACAGGTATTGCTTCTTTCCTATTGAAGAATAGACGACCGCCAGGGTGATCTGGCCGCACTAGTAGTACTCGACGTTACGCGCCTTGACCGGAAAAGTTTCAGTTAGAAATGACATGTGTTGCCAGATAGAATCGGGGAGTCTGGTGTGGGAGAGGCGAAACTGCAGCGTAAAGAGATGGACAGAAGTAGCTATGAAGGGAAAAAAAATATCGTTAGCTTTATAACGGTTAAAAGGAGGAAATGGGACAAAACTCAAGGAACAAATAAACGGAGATAAAAAAAATGACGGCGAAGAATATAATCTTGCCCATCTTTATGAGTTCCTCGCGTCGCAGTCTTTTAGTTTGTTGCCATTTTACGATTGCCAGCGTGCTTTCATAATGATAAATATAGAAATTAAAAGTTCGAAATTTTCAATTTAAACCTGACTTTCAGATAACTAGTTGCCACAATAATAAAGAACAATCATACTGAGGACTTCAAAAATCTAGCAGAAGTAATCGCATCGCTGATTAAGCTCTCCTGATCTGGAGACGGCACCCAGACCTGTGTATAAGTACGCGAAACGTACCTGGCCGCTTGTAGGGGCCTTCAGCTTCTAGGTGGCTTCGTAGATTCGTCCGTCTCTTTTGATTGTCTCGATGCTGGGCCACAATCCTCCTTCATCCGCTTGTTCATCTACTGTCTGAAAGCGATGGCTAAAACCATTTAAGCGGCTGTAGGCAATGATCTCACACTACGTAGTTCTTGCCATTTTTCTTACCATGTCTTATATTCTTTTTTTTCTTAGACTTTGTTCACAATATCTGGGCAATTGGTGGGGCAGAACACACGTTGGCCGTTTCCTATGCTACGAACTTCATTGTTGGAATAAATTTTTTTTCCTCTAAAGAGAGCGATTCATAAAGCCGCATTAAAGTCCCACATTGTACAGCGTGGACTGTATGAAGTAGTACATGTAGACGAGAGTAGATCTGACTAAAGCTGGGCTAGACTCAGATTCCCTGTCAGTGTCTCCGGTCGATCACTAGCTGTTCCTTTTCATGGTGGCACATACGGTCAGTACATTTACGCCGTCAGGCTTCCGTTCCGCCGCATGCTTACTTTTTCCTGGGCACGTTTCCCATAACTAGTTCTTTACTCCTTCGTTGGTATGTTGACATACGCTGTCTTTTACCATCGTTTTGTGTGTCCCTGTTCTTCCTCTTGGCGATTGGCCTGACCCTCCGATTAGGCATCAGCTTCTTGCAATTTTCAACTTCATGGGTGGAAACAGATCTCGGTGCAAAAAAAATACGGAAAACAAAAGCTGTGTTGTCTGCTACAAATGAATGGCCACAGAAAGAAATAGGAAGTTCTCACACCAGACAGGGCGGGTCGAGCACACTAGAAGCGTTAACTGATGAACCAGCTTAGCAGTATACCAAAAATCCCAGTCTCAACTTGAACAGTTATTACCACCACCATATTCTATCGTTGTACTAAGCGCCCGGCAACAACCGACCGGACGACGGCGGGCAAAACGCTTGTAGGGCAGTAAAGAAGACACATTTCGTGCTTTAGAATCCGGCAGCCACAGTGACTGACGACGGGACTGGAAGCTTGCCCCCCAGGTTTGGCCCTTCGACATTGGCACGTACGAGTAACCGCATAATAATAATAAAAGGAAGAAGGATTGCAAACAGCCATTGTACGGGCGAAAACTATTTCACCTTATGTTACGCCTTTTCGTCTTGGCTATATGCACATACGTATGAGTGCGTTCACGTTAATGCGGTCCATGCTATGCTCAGCTATCGCCTTTATCGAACGAATAAAGGAGTATGGTTGTATGAAGGGAAAGTTTAGGAAGTAAATCCATTTACTTATCGGTGTGTAGACTAACGATATGATCGCTATGTGCCAAGGCCGTTCTCTGCTCTAAACCCGACATTCGTTTACAAAGATTTCATATAGCATTTAGGTTATATTAGCTTAGCCTAGCCAACCCTTACTAACAACCCTTTTTTGCCTATTTTCATCCTTATTCCGACTTATATTTCAGGATTCAGGATTTCAAGCTAAGTTGACGTGTGCGTGTGTGTGTGTGTATGTCGGAGGAGGGACAGAGGAAGGAAATAGCGCGAACGATCGAGAAAAGTTGGCATAGTCCTCCGCGGGCGACAACTCGGCCCAACCGCATAGGAGAGGCGGATCAACCGCGAGGATGAGGGAACGCCACTGAACCATCGTCACCCCCGACAATCCCTTCGGCCTTACTCAGAATATGGCCGAAAATCATATGTGAGTAGTGTGGAGCATGGAATGGATTTAAAAAATGAAGGATGAACCGCGTTCTATGTTTATTACTAACAGCCCATTTAGGTAACATCGATATAATTACGAAAGTGGGCAACAGCTTGCGTAGACATTTCATTATAAGCATTACATTGTTCCATACCAAATCAGTGCTGGCCCACCGCGAAACACGCAATATCACAACGCCAATGATCTTTTGCCCAAAAAGAAAATAGTACTACCGATAAGCTTCATTGCGGTTACTTATGGCGATGCAGCATCTTGTACATCTCATGTATAAGATGTATCGAATAGGTTTTAGCTAGTTTGGCCGAATCTTTAACACAATTGTCCCTAAAGCTGTATGTTCATGATGAGCACCATACTCACTCTAACAATTCCAATTAAGCAACAAAACACCTAATGCCAAAGTTGGTAAAACGTATAGAGAATATCACTAACAAAAAACAAGGCAATGCTCGCATCCATTCTGCTGTCAACCCAGCTCATTAATCTAACCGATATTTATCGTTTCACTTTCTTTCCTTTAATAAGCTACATGTATTGTTGCATTCGATGTTTGATAAATAAATGTATTTCTTATGTGTAGTTATTTGCCGACAAGTCACGTTTCTACTAGGCGGACAGTGACGCAAACCTGTTCTACCTTTCTTTCCATTATGAATTGACGTCGTCGGTATTTTCCGGATGTTGTTGGTGTTGTGCTAAACTTCCATTCATGTAAAGACAATATTTAGAGTTGCTGCTATGATTTTGTCTATTATTCCCACTTTCTATATGTAGCTGTCAAATTATGTATATATATGTACAGATTATATATCAATGAACCTGTGTGCCGTATGCGAATATGTTATGCATGTGGGTACGACGCTCCTTGTCCTACACCCTTATAACATTGTCGTAACGGCTCCTCTTTTTCCTTAATGTGTTGCCTTTCTCCTTAATGTGTCCGTCAACGGTTGTTGTCAACCACTTACGTATGCGTGGGCGTTTCGTACGTTCTTCTTGATAATCGCCCTGCTGCCTGTGTCACAATCATCATCAACATTACCATTACGACCCATCGTGGAATCCTTGGCAATCTGCGATAACTGTGGTTTGGCTGTTGTTCAATTATTGCAACGACGTTATACAATAATTCGTACGGCAACAACAACAACTTCTGTCCTTGACAAAACACATTACACAATGACACCGTGTTACCACCTCGCTTTCCGTACCGGCTGATTGCCTGACACTTCTGCCTGGAACATTAATGGACTTGCACCGAAACCGACCCTCATCAATCAACAACAACAACAACAACTACCACGACGACGTGATACGATCATTCGCGACTGAACTACCCTTCGTTACCACCTGTTGTCACCTGTGCTCGTATCACCGCTATACATTGTCTTCTTTGTACCTTGATCGTCTCGCCTTGGACATCTTTTCTCGTCGACTTCTGTTGATTTACGTCTTGTGGTGGCAATCCTGGTAACTTGTTGCCATTCTGATCACGTTTACCTCCTTTTCGTTGATCGACAGAGCTGTAACGGTCACCCAAGAGGTGAAAGAGGAACAGAAATCGGTAACGAGCCAGGTTGTTCAACAGGTGCACAGGTAAAAGGTTTATAAGTTGCCGCACGTAACCGTTGAACTACAGTTGAGGCATGCTTGTGAGACCGCGGCAACAGTCCCCGGCTCTCGCTGCTAGTAAGTTCTTCATGAATACTGCCACCGGAATGCTTCTTCATACGAAGACCCCCTCATACCTGTTTCATCTTTGCCATCTGCTATATACGTGCCATGATCCCAGAAGCTGAATGAGGATCCTGTATGTGTAGATTGCCAAGAAATGGTGCTTTTTTCCGTCGCTTTTTCATCAAACTACTGCTCATCGTGCAGTTCTATCGTCATCTCGCTATCTCCAACGCTGCAGCCCAACACCTTTTCCCAATCCTTAGAGTTACAAGATCCTGTATCAGTGCGAATGTATACACGTAATTGGCCTATGGTCGATGAATGACGGCGTACATCGACACGTTACAGAATGAAAGTACTTAATGCATAAATCTATTGCTTGCTCGGCAATTACGGAGTAATCTACTTGGCGACGAGGATGCTGTAGGTCATGATGGTCATGCCGGTCTGGCCCCGTATGCTTCGTCGTCCTTCTCCTTGATTTTAAGCGCAAAAAACGCGCAATGATCATGTCAGTCTGTCCCGATATCCGCCTGTTTGTTAGGTTTATTAAAGGGCGCATCTATGTATGAGAGCGAGACTTTGTCTATTCGAAGACTTTCTCCTGTGATGAAAAGATTGGTAAACTGCAGAGCAGAGAGTAAGCGCAATGGTGTCTGTCAGCCGTATTCCTGTCAGAATATACAAGTGAAGCGTGTTTTCTCTTCCTAATCAGAGGCCCGTGTCTAAGCTGAAGTGAGCATGTCCAGCTATGTATGCTTGTCAACGAACAGACGAATCGCCATCTTAGCTTTATATTATTCATTGTACTTTTGTAGTGTGATTGGCTGGGAGCCATTTTTTCGATACGTTCGCAGCTTTGCATGAGTTCCAATCTTGAGCCCGCCTCTGTTGTTACCAACTGATACTCCCCGCTAAGTGTGCTTATTATAACGGCTATGATTACGGAATGTTTTTTGTGTAAGTGATTCTGAATAATGAAGTTATCTCGAGCATCTGCATGACAAGTAGCGTTATCCCTAGAACCACTTAATGTTTCATATGTAGATTGATCGTTTTCGATCTCAGGCTCATTCAGTTGGCAACTAAAGTAATTAGTAAATTTATTTAGGTACTGATCATATAGATGCGTATAAACGTTTCTGTGCCTTATTATTTATATGTAGGTTCAATAATGCACATCACTGACTTCATTCTGTGATAAAGTCAGCGACAGTATTCATTGTATGTAATTATGTTATAACATATTGGTAAATGTACGTCGTCTTCGTATCCTTGCTTGGGTAACGTGTTTATGTACATCGAACAGAAAAGGCTCAAAAATTCAATACTAATCAGTATTTAATTTAATCACCTATTGAGCAATTTTCAGGATTTTTTTTTCGACGGCAATAACCCGATGACACGACTTTAACACTCTACATCAGTCGCAAAATAGCAGTCATATATGGAGCTATTGTCAAAGTGTTCCTTTGTAATGTACGTCTAGTCAGGCATGAACGAACATTTGACTGTCCTGAGTTCCTTCGCAATCCGTCACCATACTGCTTGTCGATTATGTGATCCCTATTGACTGGAAGTGAGCAAATATTGCACATCTTAGATGTTTGGTAGAAACGTCACGCGATGGATAGGTGATGTTTTTTGGATAACGACAATATATATTGTTTTAATGTGACCTAACCTTTATAGCTCAGCTAGCTAGGCAGATTCGAGTCGGCATTCGTTTTCGAACGTTTTCTAATCTTATGCTATGACGTTTATGGAACTTTTATGGAAACTGATGTTTTGAACGCTCTCGTACTAAATACGTACACGCAAACCATTTACGAATAAGTCAACATTTAAACACGTTAAATACGTCAAGCCATCAATGTCTGCTGCTGTACAGGCGAAATCAGTTAACTGAGCTTCGTTCGCCTTCTCTCTCTCGCTCTCTTCCTCCGTATCTCATTTCTAGCCTAAAGTGCTCATTAGGTAACTTCACTCCTTAAGCAGGCGTAATTCCTTTGGATGAAACCATGTGCTCCGCATTGGCGCTTCTTCCACCTTACTTATTTTTCTCTTATTTTCGAGTATGCCCTCGATTTGGATCTCCTCTCGATTTTCTCGAGCGCTTGTAGGTTCGATTAATTGGTTAGGGGCTTTATCTACAGGCGTGTTTTTATTGCTGATAATCTACGCGGACGTGACCGCGGGCAAGCGAGCACCGTCCGAACACTAAACAAGGTAGATTGATGAAGACAGTTACATAATTGCATTCGCCACGATATAGGGCAGAAATGTATGTGACAATGGTGAAACGTTTACGAGTTCTAACATATGAAACGCTAAGAATAAAACCAAAAAAAAAAAAAAGCTTATTCTTATAAAAGATTTTATAAATTTATCGCGTGGCTCAATACGCTTCTGTTCCATATTGGGATTTCAAACTTTTTTCAGGGTGATTATTTGGTCTATGGAGACGAACATGTCAACTCTGTGTAAATACTTTTCTTTTCACGTTTTTTACGTTTCGAATATTCGTACGTTCAGCGATGACAATATCGGTACATTGTATTTAGCGATAGTTGGTCGTCTTCGAATTCTTTCTCTGGATTGTGCCTACTGTTGAGTCGTCATTTCTTGTAGCCGTGTGCTCTCCCCCGTATCAAAGGGCTTCATAAAAAGAGTCGTTAATCATTTCATACTCCCATAGTTTTAGATCGTGTGCTATCAAGCCAGCGCCTGTCTTGTTGTTGTTGTTAATGCTTCTGTAGGTTGTTGCTGACAAAACCTGCTCTGTTGAATTCAAAACCTTTTTGTGCCAAGTACTTGTCCCGGCATTCATTACCGCTAATGCTAAGCTCTATGCTATATAGTTGTTAAGTGGGCCGTAAGGTAAAACTTGCGGGGCGGAAGTAATGGCAAGAGTATCTACGGTCAGCGTCGATATTGTTATGCATAAATTGAAAAGGAACTCAAGCGGTTAAAGTTTCAGAAGTCCCTTAAACGTAGGGTAATTCGTACGTTATTGTTCTACATTGCGTCTGCTATTCTGTGGTCCATTCAGGACAAACTGGGAGGTTTTTGTTAAACTCAGTGATGAAATAGGGACACCGAACACATGGTTGCTAGACAAGCCATTTGGCAATCGATGAACGAGGGACAAGGGGAGAGCGAGGCAGCGAAGTGGAGAAAACACTAGTAACTACGCTTGGTCCTCTGGGAGGGTCGAACTGGGATAAACGATTAAAATAGGATTGAGTCGGTCCCATGCATTGTCAATGGGATCCTGAGCACTGGGAATTATCGTAAGCTCGGTGCTTTCTGGCTTGTTAGAGTAACTTGGTGCGACGATGACGACAATCCAGGAGCCTGTATCTCGGGGGCTTTCACTGACACCAACAGGCGTCTCGTGATGGGTTTGGGCATGTGACTTAGCTCTAAGCTAGGTAATGCACTATTCAACTGAAAATCACACAAAGGTCGAGGTCATGAAGGATTCCATTCAGAAATCTACCACTCGAACGCTGGTAATTAGTAAAATTCCCTAGCGCATCACATTATTCTAGAAGACATCTATTGGAATCGGTTACATGAAAAGGTTGAACGTAAAAAGGCAGACATACATTTCATTAGATGTACAAAACCTGTATCAATATGAAGCCTCTTCGTTGTGCTAACACTGCGTTATGATCGACAGCTAAACTATTCGGGTAGAAATAAAAATAATTAGAAAATGAATAAATAAACTTTGAGTAGAAAAGTTTATTAAATTTCTTTATTTAAATAAGGACATTTTTTGTTTCTTTGAAAATTCTATTGGAAATTGGATTGAAAAGAAACTCAAGCTTGCGTTAAGGATCGATTTAGGCCATCACACACGGCTGTACACGCTCGGTGCGTTTCTTATCAACATCTGGATGTGAACTTTTACAACACGTCTATAGCAAAATAACGATAATGGCTAGATTGTATTGCCGAATAAGATTAATAAGTCGTAGGATGCCAGAAAGAAGGGATACGAACCGGCGTCGTTGGCAATTCTTCGAGGGAGCAGTGATTCGTGGTTCGCTAATGTTCTTGTCACAATGCTTAAATCGTTTTGACGTCATTTTGGCCACCTTTCGACCGCTGATTGCATAAGGCCACATTCCATGTTATTGTGGCTTGTCAATCCTACTGCCGCAGGTGGTACTGCCCTGGCACATGCTTTCACTGGATAAAATACGGATTAAATGTTTATCTCCTGACCCGCATTCAGAAAGCGGCCGTAAAAAACGTGGGATCAGGTGGACTGCTGCTACCGCAGGACTAAAATGTTCGAAAAAAGGAGGAAGTGGGTTGAAACCCAGAACAAGTATGTTGAACAAATATGGTTTGTTCGCAAAATATTCTTTGCGTTGGGGTTCAACTAGTTTCAAAGGCATATCGTTTTTATTATAACTACATATTGATGCATCCGCAGACTGATAAGTTCAGCTAGTGGTCGCTTGAAGCTCTTTTCAACAACTGCACTCCAATGGCGCTTTTTCGGTTTTAGAAGCTTATCATCACAGTCATTGTCATTATCGATCATTGATTTGTCACTGAGCGACAAATGAGAGAGAGCACTGTATATTCTAAGAACTGTATATTTAAAGGCATATAGATACAAGAGTATTTACTGCTTGTAAAAACGGAATCGCTTATGATTCTTGGTTACGATAAACATAACAATGGAGGCTAGCCCCATCCACTAAAAGGCAACCACATTGCAGGCATGTAATAAGCCCTGATTTGAAACCTGGAAAATCTTCGTGCACCGAACGAATTTATAATTATTTAGCGCGATTCACTGTCGTTGTATTGGCTGCAGTATTATCACTTACAATAAAACATAATCTATAACGGCAAACGAACGGAAAATTAGGCTGTTACTATTTGAGAGTATAAAC